AGAAATGGGGGTACGGGAGAGTGTAGAGGGGGTGTGGGCTGGAGTGTGGGAGTCGGTTGGGGGTGTGTGTGGGGTGGCAGTGTGTGGGGAGGGGCTGAGGGGTGAGACAGAGAGACAAGCAGCAGGTGTAGTGACTGGCTTTGGGGCTGAACCAGTAGATCAGCAGCTCGGAGAGAGCCAAGGCCAGGAGTCCAGCCCCACCGTCACCTGGACACAGGGTCAGGGAATCAGCCTCGTGTCACCCTGTGACTGTGTCTCTCTGCCTGTGTGTGTCTCTGTAGCTCTGTCTGTGTCTGGGTCTCTGTCTCTCTGTCTGTCTGTACCTGTGTCTGTGTCTCTCTGTCTGTGTGCGTCTCTGTAGCTCTGTCTGTGTCTGGGTCTCTGTCTCTCTGTCTGTCTGTACCTGTGTCTGTGTCTCTCTGTCTGTGTGCGTCTCTGTAGCTCTGTCTGTGTCGGGGTCTGTGTCTCCCTGTCTATCTGTACCTGCGTCTGTGTCTCTCTGTGTGTCTGTACCTGTGTATGAGTCTCTCTGTGTGACTGTGCCTATGTTTGTGTCTCTTTGTGTATGTGTACCTGTGTGTGTATCCCTTTGTGTCTGTACCTGTTTGTGTGTCTCTCTGTGTCCGTGGACCTGTGTGTGTGTCTCACTGTGTGTCTGGACCTGTGTGTGGTCTCACTGTGTGTCTGTACCTGTGCCTTTGTCTCTCTGTGTGTCTGTACCGGTGTCTGTCTCTCTGTGTGTCTGTACGTGTGTCTGTCTCTCTCTGTATGTCTGGACCTGTTTCTGTGTCTCTCTTTGTGTCTGTACCTGTGTCTGTGACTCTCTGTGTGTCAGTAGCTGTAGCTGTGTCTCTCTGTGTGTCTGTACCTGTGTATGTGTCTCTTTGTGTATCTGTACCTGTGTGTGTGTGTCTCCCTTTGTGTCTGTACCTGTTTGTGTGTCTTTCTGTGTGTCTGGACCTGTGTGTGTGTCTCACTGTGTGTGTGTGTGCCCGTGCGTGTCTCTCTCTGCCTCTGTATGTCTCTCTCTGTCTGTGTCTCTCTGTACGTCTGTACCTGTGTGTGTCTCTCTGCCTGTGTTTATCTCTGCAGTGCTGTCTGTGTCTGCCCGTGTGTGTCTCTCTATCTCTCTGCCCGTCTGTGTCTCTCTCTCTGTCTGTCTGTGCGCCTCCGGTGACTGATCGACACTCTCAGGTCCTGCCGATGAGCCGGGCCGGGCTGTGCCGCTATCAGCAGTGAGTGCCCCAGGATACTGTGATCCCTCCGGGCTCAGGAACCGGGGACGAGAGACCGTCACAGAGGCTCCATTCCCACACTCGTTGACAAGCTGCAAGTCAAGTCCACTGAGACCCTGTTAACCTGCCCTCAAGGAGTAGAAGGGATTTTACTAAGACAATTGTGGGATGTTACATAGAACAGCAAAGTGCTACAGCCCTTTAATATTCCTTTATTGGAACACACGTTAACATAAAGTACATATTTATACACCTCAACTACACAACAGCCGTCAGGACAGATCTTGCAATGTATGTTTTACCTTTTGACAATGTTCTTGAGTGTTGGTCAAAGGTTTCTTTGATAACAAGGAAGGGAGAGCAATACAAGTTAATAATTATTTCATTAAAACTGGTACTTTTCGAACTTGTATCCCTTTTACGAGCTGTTTAATGAATTATTGGAAACATGGTGCGGTCTTATATATCACCTGTTGTCTCAGTGTTTCTCAGCTCCTCTTGATTTATTGTGTATCAGCAATAGGAGAAGCTGCTCTGTGGAGCTGTCTGGTTTATGCCAAACATGTCACCTTGTTGCCAGTTCAGCTCCAAGCAGAACCCACTAACCTCCCACCCACAGTGGGAAAAGGCACATTCAAAGACAAATGGCTTATGACAGTCGAGATGGAGGGAGGAAAGTGAAGGGATTCAAGATAACGATATAGGAACCGGGAGCAAGTTGACATTCTCCACGTCCACCACCGGGTCCACCCTACCATCGACCATTGAGACTTGATCTTCTCTACCCCCACCATCTGTAACTCTATCCCACAGTCGCTTCATATCACTACTTTCCTCACCTCCTGCAAGACCAGTCTCAAGACATTCCTCTTTGACCAAACATGCCTTTGGCCAACTTCTTATCCCTACAATCACAGCCTTCCATCTCTCCTGATCCCACCTCCAGCTCGTATCCAAATCCCCGACTGTCCAGTGCCTTGGAACGTCCTCCTGACATGAAAGGCCCAGATGAATGTAATTTGCTGTTTCAGAGCAGGGGATGGTATGACAGTTTGACGGGGGTCTGAAGCGGGAAACGAAAGGGTTTCAGTTGATTTCGATACCCTCTCACTCATTTTGATATCAGTTCATGCCCTCGCACCTCCCAACCGCTCCTGCCTTCTGAGACCCCACTCCACCACTCAATGACTCTGTCCAGATGGCTCCAACCTCCTGTTTGTCTCTTGTACTATCCGATCACCATCAGGGTCTTGCTTTCATTCACTAAGATACCCAATTCCGAACGTATCTTCCCCAATGGCTTTAACTAGTTCCCTCTTTCCCCACCTTCAAATCCCGCCAGAGATTCCATGTTTCATCATGTTTATGGTCACAACCCCATCCCTGTCCTCCAGGCTAACAGTCAGACTCCACCACTGTCAAGAGCTCTGGTTTACTACCCCGCATAAAGGGCGCTGTGTAAAGGCAACTTTTTCTTGTTGACTTGCTCCATACGATCAAGATTGAATCGGAAACGAAGAGACATCAGAATAACACTTGATAGATTTACACAAACTGATTTTTATGCACAAATAGTTATTGTTGTTCAATAAAAATAATGATCTATAATCTTCTCATGTAAACGATAATAGTCAATCTCTTTCTCTCTCTCTCGATCTGTAGACATGCACCCACACAGCACCCATATCGTTTTTTGGCGAGAGCCTTGGCTTAGGGGAACCTTGAGTTTGATTTGGGGTAACATATGGGAATATAGCAAAGTATCCAGTTCAAATCATAGGTGTTACCTTTGTGAAGTTATTTGTACAAATGTAATCGGTTTTTGAATTATAATTTACGTCTGAGAAGCTTTCCCGCTGCGTGTCCAACCAAGACCAACCTATCAGCTCGTGAAGGCTTTGCCTCCAGGGATAACAGTTGCTGAATGGGAGAAATCACTGCCTCCATATACTTTTCAGCCCTGCCGGGTCCTGTCGATGAGACAGCCTGGGCTGTGTTGACATCAGCAGTGCCCTGGGACAGTGTGGACCAACCTGGCGCAGGAACCGTACTGGAGACGATCCCAGAGGTCTGGCTCGATTCCTGAATTCCTAGATAGAGAGATCTGAATCATTTAGATGTGATGCTGGAGCTCAGGAGAATGGCACAGAGGGTATTGGAAAATCAAAGTGGGATGTGACAATCGATATATTTGTCTTATTGGTGTAGACGTGGAATCTGGGCCATCGGTTCTGATCACAAGAGTGATCAAACTGTACACGCTACTGATTTTATATGGCATCGTTTAGCTGGTGGCAATAATCTTGAATGTTGAGTCAAATATTTCTTTGTTAACCAGGTAATGAGAGCAAAACAAAAAAAAAATATTTGATTAGATCTGGTCATTTTCAGTCTTGCAACACATTTACAAGCTGTTTAATGACTTACAGGAAACAAGGTGTGATCTGGCATATCACTGCTGTGTCAATGTTTCTCAGCTCGTCGTGATTTATTGTGTATCAGCAATAGGAGAAGCTGCTCTGTGGAGCTGTCTGGTTTATGCCGAACATGACACCTTGGGGCCAGTTCAGCTCCAAGCAGCTAACCTCCCACCCTCAGTGGGCAAAGGCACATTCAAAGACAAGTTGACGGTGACATTATAGAGGGATGGAGGAAAGTGAAGGGATTAAAGAGAAGAATACAGGAGCTGGGAGCAAATTGGATGAAAGTTCTCCATTAACTGTGGGGAGAGAATGAGGATGTAGAGTTAAACAAGAAAGGAAGGGGTTGAAGGTCATAGGAACCCAGCAGATAGATAGGTACAGAGTGTGGTGGGGGGAGTGTGGGTCGGGGGCGGTGGTGCACATTATGTGTGTGTGTGGGGAGGGGGTGGTGAAGGGAAAAGAGACCATTGAAGGTTAGAACTGCGATTATAAAGCACAAGTCATCATTTTATTAAAAAATCAATGTGAATCCTGGTGTGTTGCGGAAGAAAGGAGGTGGGGGGTTGTCGCTTGGGGTAGGGGAGATTGTGTGGTGGGAGAGGGAGATTGTGTGAGGGGAGATTTAATGGTGGGAGGGGAGAGATTGTGTGTGGAGGGCGGAGATTGTGACCGGTGGGTGGGCGGTAATGAAAGGGAAGTGAACTTGTGGCAGATGTGGGAATGAGGAGATCTTCTAAAAGTTTTGATTAATCAGAAGATATCAATCAGGAGAGTAAATGCCCAGGAGGCCCCTCCCCGATAGGGAATATCCAAATGTTCAGGAGACAGATCGGGATTATTGCTCTCAGGGTCTATTCCTGGTTCCATATTTACTGGTATTCTTAACTTCTCCCTCTGACTCCTCACCCTGATTGGACCAGTTGTTTGGTGAACTTTGGTCCATTTCCACATCAATCATTTCCTTAGTCCAAATCTTGGTGGTTGCTCAGAATCCTGAATCCCCACGTGAGGCCGTGTGGATCAGAGTGAAGTGAACTCTGTCACAGGGCGGGACACACACAGCATAAATACCCGGAGCCTGATGGAGTTGGGAACAGATAGACTCCGGGTGACCAGGACTTCTAGACATCAGGTTCAGGCTCTGACCGAGAAGCTAAACTGCGTCATTTGTCTGGAATTCTTTAAGGTTCCCGTTTGCCTCGATTGCGGCCACAAATATTGTCGGTCCTGTATCACCGGAAGCTGGGAAAAGCAGGGAAAATCCTCCCGTCCAGAATATCGCCAAGTTACTGCAAAGAGGAACCTCAAGGTTAATTGGGTTCAGGCCAAAATGCTGTACAAAATGGGGCTCCCCCCGACCGCGGCAAAAACGGTGACCCTCTGAGGATCTGTCGGTTGACGGATTGATGAGGAGGGAAACCTCAGCGGGTTTCACAATCAGCGGGTTTCACAAGAAGAGACTTGAGGAGGGTTTATCCGCCCAGTGACTGGGAGCCGCCCACACACTCGCACTGAAAACAAAACCAGTTTCAAGCAGCAGTTGCTGAGGATCGAAATGGCTTCCAGACTCCAGGCTGAGAGCTTGACCGAGGAGCTAAACTGTGCCATTTGTCTGGAGTTCTTCACTGATCCTGTTAGTCTGGACTGCGGCCACAACCTCAGTCGCTCCTGTGTCGCCTGGAGCTGGGAAAAGCAGGAGAAAAACTCCTGTCCGGTGTGTCGCCAAGTTACTGTGGAGAGGAACCTCCAGGTCAATGGGGCTCTGGCCAAAATGGTGGAAAAAGCTCGTGAATCCAGTCTGAACCCGATACAGATGGCAGTTAAACGTCGGTTTGAGAAACACGGGGAGGACCTGAAGCTGTTCTGTGAAGATGACAAGAAATTGATCTGTTACACTTGCAGAGATGCGAAAGAGCACAAAGGTCACAGCTTTCAGCCCATTGACGAAGCGGCTGAAATCTACAAGGTACCGAGACCCTCACGAGGGATTCATTCAGTTTCCACGTCAGGTTTTCCCCTCAAACACTGTTATTCTGTGCCTTTATTCCAGGATCAAGTGAAGTCCTCCATAGCTTCTCTCACACAGAGGAAGGAAACTGCTCTACAAATTGAAGCCAAACAGAGAGAAAAGATTTCACAAGTTAAGGTAAGTTGTGTCGGGGCTGATGTCTGTCAGTGTGTCTCTGGTTACTGTGTGTACACGATGTCATGTCTCAGTGTCTCTGGTTACTGTGTGTACACGGTGGGATGTCTACGGTCTCTGGTTAATGTGTGTACACGGTTTGATGTCTCAGGTCTCTGGTTACTGTGTGTAACGGTGGGATGTCTCAGTGTCTCTGGTTACTGTGTGTACACGGTGGGATGTCTCAGGTCTCTGGTTACTGTGTGTAATGGTTGGATGTCCTGACATTTTCAGAAACAGGTGAAGAATGTGCAGACTCACGTCACGGCTGAGTTTGCTAAAATGCACCAGAGTCTGACTGACAGAGAGCAGCGAGTGATGGGGGATCTCAGACAGCGAGAGGAGGAGATTCTAAAGCGAATGGAGACAACTCTGCGAGAGATTCGGGGAAAGTTAGAGTCGGTGGAGCAAGAACTCTCCGAGTTACAGACACAGATGGGGAAAGACGCTCTCACCTTCCTGCAGGTAAAGAGATGACATTATAATGCAGTTCAGTCACAGTTACACACAGTCGGGAGCCGACAAACTAATTGTGATTAAAAAAGAGATCAGAGATTGAATTGGGATGTGGGAGACGCTGTACACATGTAATCTGCTGTTGTTGTTGGTGTCTCAGTGTGAGCTGATATCTGTCTCTGTTTGATTTCATTAGGAGGAATCTGCTGCCAACAGAAGGTATGGAATGACCTTTACCAAATATCCCAGAATTGAGCCAACAAACCTCCCACAAGGTGCAGTTTCACTCAATAATGTGATGAGGTCTTGTTTCAGGGTCAGTGACGAGGGCTTTGATCTGTCAATGTGTGAGGCTGAGCTGCCGGTGGCCAAGTACAAGTGGCCTTTGAAGAACACCGTCTGGAGAGAGATTATAGACAGCGTCAGTCCACGTACACGTCTTCCATTCTCACCCTGAAGCCGTGTCAATAGCCTTCCATTGACAACACATACCCCCACACACTTCCTCACACACACACACACAGACACCCTCACACACACACACACAAACACACACACCCCTCAGACACACGCCACTCAAACACACACCTCATACACACACCTCATGTCACACAACCCTCCCGCACACTCCCCTCACACAGGAGGCGAGAGCACAAGTCTGAGGAGGTGGAGCAGGAGGGAGTGCAGTCGAGGCTGAAGTGGCCAATGAGGACGAGGGGGTCGGAGCAGAGGCAGAGGGAGGCGAGGAGGGTGGAGGGGTCACAGATGAAGGTGGGGGAGGGTTTTGGGGGCAGTACATTAGGATGTTAGAGAGATGGGATGGATGGCGGAGGGTGAGGTGAAGGAAAGAGGGGAGTGAGCAGTGGAGGAGAGGGACAGGGCCAGTGACGCCCTGGAGATGAGGGCCACCCCACCACCATGACGGTTGGGGTGGGGGCCATGGTGGGAGGGGTAGCGGGAGTGTGGCCTCAGTGAGGGGGAAGGTGTCACCGGGGGTGAGCCATAATGTCAATGGCCTCACACCCACACACACACTCTCACACATCCCCTCACACAGCCCCCCACACACACCCACACACCGACTCACATACACCCTCACACACACCCACACACAGAGCCTCACACACCACCTCACACACCCCCTCACACACCCCCTCACACACAACCACACACAGACCCTCACACACACCCTCACGCAAACAACCTCATACGCACCCTCACACACACCCACACACAATCCCTCACACAGCCCCACACACACACCCTCATCCACACCCTCACACACACCCTCAAACACACCACACACAAACCCTCACACACAGTCACACACTCATAAACCCCCTCACACACAGAGACACACCCACACACACACCCACAGACACCCCCTCGCACACACCCTCACACAGACCCTCACACACACCCACGCACACCCCCACACACACCCCTTCACACACACCCTCACATACACCCTCACAGACACCCCCTCACATACCCTCCCACATGCTCCCTCACACACATCCCCTCACAAACACCCACACGCAGACCCTCACACACTCATAATCACCTCACACCCCCTCACACACAACCTCACAAACAACCACACACACAACCACACACACACCCTTACACTCACCCTCACACAGACCGTCACACAACCCCTCACACACCCCTCACACACACCATCACACACACCCACACACACTCATAAACCTCCTTACACACACCCACACACAGACCCTCACACACACACAGAACCTCACACACAGCCTGACACACCCCCTCATCCACACCCTCACACACAGCCTCACACACACCCACACACAAACCCTCACACACACACTCACACACTCATAAACCCCCTCACACACACCCTCACACACCCCCTCATTCCCCCCCCTCACAAACCCACACACATACCCTCACACACACCCTGACACACACCCACACACACCAACTCACGCACCTCTAAATCCCCTCACACACACCCTCACACACACCCTCACACAACCGACACACAGATCCTCAAACACGCACTCACACACACCCACACACATACACTCACACACCCACTCACACAATCCCCCTCACAGACACCCTCAGATACACACACTCACACCCCCCCACACCCTCCGCCTCACACAGCCCCTCACACGCCCCCTCACACAGACGGTGACCCTCGGGGCCGGATGGTGTCTCCGGGTGTAGATGTGTTCACACACCGTCTGAGCTCCAGACGTCCCCTCACTCCACGTTGTGTTGTGTCTCTCTCTCAGCTCCGCTCACTCTGACTCTGGATCCCGACACAGCGAACCCGTACCTCATCCTATCTGAGGACCTGACCAGCGTGAGATACGGAGACACACGGCAGCGGCTCCCGAACGGTCCCAAGAGGTTTGATCACTGTGTCTGTGTCCTGGCGTCTGAGGGCTTCACATCGGGGAGACATTACTGGGAGGTGCAGGTGGTCAACAAGACAGAGTGGGCAGTGGGATTGGCCCGAGAGTCCGTCAACAGGAAAGGAAAGATCATATATACACCAGAGGGAGGATTCTGGGTTTTGCGGCTGAGAAACGGGGATGAATATAAAGCTCTGACCTCTCCCTCCACTCTCCTGTCCCTGAGGGACAGACCCGGGAAGGTGGGAGTGTTCCTGGACTATGAGGGGGGAGAGGTGACCTTTTACAACGCCGATAACATGTCTCATCTCCACACTTTCACCGACACTTTCACTGAGAAGCTTTATCCTCTCTTCGGTCCCTGGGACGGTGACCCTCTGAGGATCTGTCGGGTGACGGATTGATGAGGAGGGAACCCTCAGCCGTGACCTGCGTTTGGCGGTGATGGCCACGAGGCTGAACCTTCATAGTCTGTGTCGCTGTACAATAAAGATTGTGGTTTATGTCACACAGTTCACACTCGGCCCTCGAACCCAACCCTTCCCTCTCTCTCTCTCTCTGTCTCTCACTCTCACACACTCTCCCTCTCTCTCTCCCTCTCTCTCTCTGTCTGTCTGTCTCTTACACTCTCTCTCTCACACTCACTCTCACACTCACCCTCTCTCTCTCACACTCCTTCTCTCTCTCTCTCTCTCTCTCTGTCTCACACTCTCACTCTCTGTCCCTCTCTCTCTCTCTCTCTCTCTCTCTGTCCCTCTCTGTCCCTCTCACACTCTCTCTCACTCTCTCTCTGTCCATCTCTCGCTCTCTCTCTGTTCCTCTCTCGCACTCTCTCTGTCCCTCTCTCTCTCTCTGTCCCTCTCTCACTCTCTCTCTCTCTGTCCCTCTCTTTCTCTTTCTCTCTCTCTCTCTGTCCCTCTCTCTCTCTCACACACTCTCACCCTCACACTCTCCCTCTCTCTCTCTCTGTGTGTCTCACACTCTCACTCTCACACACTCTCTCTCTCTGTCTGTCTCTCTCTCTCTCTCTCTCTCTCTCTCACTCTTACACTCTCCCTCTCTCTCACACTCTCACTCTCACACACACTCTCACTCTCACACACACTCACACACGCTCACACTCTCACTCACACACTCACTCTCACACACTCTCACACTCTCACTCACACACTCACTCTCACACACTCTCACACTCTCACTCACACACACTCTCACACTCTCACTCTCACTCACTCTTTCACACTCACTCTTTCTCACACTCTCACACTCTCTCTCACACTCTCACTGTCTCTCTCTCACACACTGTTACACTCTTCACACACAGACTTCTCTCTCACACTCTCACTCACACACACTCTCGCTCTTTCACTCACACACACTCTCACATTCACACTCACACTCTCACTCACACACACTCATACTCTCACTCTCACACACACTCACACTCTCACACTCTCACTCTCTCACTCTCACACACTCTTACACTCTCAGACACACTCTCACACTCACTCACTCGCTCTCACTCACACACACTCACATACACTCTCACACTCTCACCCTCACACTCTCACACTCTGACTCTTACACACTCACACACACTCACACACACTCACACTCTCACTCGCACACACGCTCACACTCTCACTCACACATACTCTCACACTCTCAATCTCACACGCACTCTCTCTCTCACTCTCACACACTCTCACACTCACACTCTCACTCACACACTCTCACTCGCACACACTCTCACACACTCACTCTCACACTCACACACTCACACTCACATACACTCTCACACTCTCTCACACTCACACTCTCTCTCACACACACACTCACACTCTCACTCACACACACTCTCATACTCTCACTCTCACACTCACACACACTCACACTCTCACACTCTCACTCTCTCACTCTCACACACTCTTACACTCTCGCACACACTCTCACACTCACTCACTCGCTCTCACTCACACACACTCACACTCTCACCCTCACACTCTCACTCACACACACTCTCACACTCTGACTCTCACACACTCAAACACACTCACACACACTCACACACACTCACACTCTCACTCACACACTCACGCACACACACTCTCACACTCTCACTCACACACACGCTCACACTCTCACTCACACATACTCTCACACTCTCAATCTCACACACACACTCTCTCTCACTCTCACACACTCTCACACTCACTCTTTCACTCTCACACACTCTCTCACACTCACACTCTCACACTCTCACACTCACACACACTCACACACACTCACACACACTCACACTCTCACTCACACACACTCACACACACTCACACTCTCACTCACACACTCACACTCTCTCACTCTCACACACTCTTACACTCTCAGACACACTCTCACACTCACTCACTCGCTCTCACTCACACACACTCACATACACTCTCACACTCTCACCCTCACACTCTCACACTCTGACTCTCACACACTCAAACACACTCACACACACTCACACTCTCACTCACACACTCACGCACACACACTCTCACATTCTCACTCACACACACGCTCACGCTCTCATTCACACATACTCTCACACTCTCAATCTCACACACACTCTCTCTCTCACTCTCACACACTCTCACACTCACACTCTCCCTCACACACTCTCACTCGCACACACTCACTCACACACTCACTCTCACACTCACACACACTCACATACACTCTCACACTCTCACCCTCACACTCTCACTCACACACACTCTCACACTCTCACTCACACACTCAAACACACTCACACACACTCACACACACTCACACTCTCACTCACACACTCACGCACACACACTCTCACACTCTCACTCACACACACGCTCACACTCTCACTCACATACACTCTCACACTCTCACCCTCACACTCTCACACTCTGACTCTCACACACTCAAACACACTCACACACACTCACACTCTCACTCACACACTCACTCACACACACTCTCACATTCTCACTCACACACACGCTCACACTCTCACTCACACATACTCTCACACTCTCAATCCCACACGCACTCTCTCTCTCACTCTCACACTCACACTCTCACTCACACACTCTCACTCGCACACACTCACTCACACACTCACTCTCACACTCACACACACTCACATACACTCTCACACTCTCACCCTCACACTCTCACTCACACACACTCTCATGCTCTCACTCTCACACTCACACACACTCACACTCTCACACTCTCACTCTCTCACTCTCACACACTCTTACATTCTCGCACACACTCTCACACTCACACACTCGCTCTCACTCACACACACTCACATACACTCTCCCACTCTCACTCTCACACTCTCACTCACACACACTCTCACACTCTGAGTCTCACACACTCAAACACACTCACACACACTCACACACACTCACACTCTCACTCACACACTCACGCACACACACTCTCACACTCTCACTCACACATACTCTCACACTCTCAATCTCACACACACACTCTCTCTCACTCTCACACACTCACACTCTCACTCTCTCACTCTCACACACTCTCTCACACTCACACTCTCACACTCACACACACTCACACACACTCACACACACTCACACTCTCACTCACACACTCACACTCTCACACTCTCACTCTCTCACTCTCACACACTCTTACACTCTCAGACACACTCTCACACTCACTCACTCGCTCTCACTCACACACACTCACATACACTCTCACACTGTCACCCTCACACTCTCACACTCTGACTCTCACACACTCAAACACACTCACACACACTCACACTCTCACTCACACACTCACTCACACACACTCTCACATTCTCACTCACACACACGCTCACACTCTCACTCACACATACTCTCACACTCTCAATCTCACACACACTCTCTCTCACTCTCACACACTCTCACACTCACACTCTCACTCACACACTCTCACTCGCACACACTCACTCACACACTCACTCTCACACTCACACACACTCACATACACTCTCACACTCTCACCCTCACACTCTCACTCACACACACACTCACACTCTCACTCACACACACTCATACTCTCACTCTCACACTCACACACACTCACACTCTCACACTCTCACTCTCTCACTCTCACACACTCTTACGCTCTCGCACACACTCTCACACTCACTCACTCGCTCTCACTCACACACACTCACATACACTCTCCCACTCTCACCCTCACACTCTCACTCACACACACTCTCACACTCTGACTCTCACACACTCAAACACACTCACACACACTCACACACACTCACACTCTCACTCACACACTCACGCACACACACTCTCACACTCTCACTCACACACACGCTCACACTCTCACTCACACATACTCTCACACTCTCAATCTCACACACACTCTCTCTCACTCTCACACACTCTCACACTCACTCTCTCACTCTCACACACTCTCTCACACTCACACTCTCACACTCACACACACTCACACACACTCACACTCTCACTCACACACTCACTCACACACACACTCACACTCTGACTCACACACACTCATACTCTCACTCTCTCACTCTCACACACTCTTACACGCTCACACACACTCTCACACTCACTCACTCGCTCTCACTCACACACACTCACATAAACTCTCACACTCTCACCCTCACACTCTCACTCACACACACTCTCACACTCTGACTCTCACACACTCACACACACTCACACTCTCACTCACACACTCACTCACACACACTCTCACACTCTCACTCACACACACGCTCACACTCTCACTCACACATACTCTCACACTCTCACACTCACACACACTCTCTCTCACTCTCACACACTCTCACACTCACTCTCACTCTCACACACTCTCTCACACTCACACTCTCAGACTCTCACACGCACACACTCTCTCACACTCTCACACTCTAACTCTCTCTCTCACTCTGTCTATCTCTCACACTCTCTCCATTGTAGAGAGACAGAATGAGTGTCAGAGACAGACAATAAAGGAATGATTGTCACTTTTCTCATTGAAGGGCATTGGCAACACACAGTCACTACATATTACACTGACACCCACAGTCACTACACTTTACACTGAAACACACAGTCACTGCGCTTTATACTGAATCACAATCACTGACACCCACTCCCACTACAATTTACACTGAAACACACAGTCACTACACATTACACTGAAACACACAGTCACTACACTTTACACTGAATCACACAGTCACTACAATTTACACTGAAACACAGAGTCACTACACTTTACATTCAAACACACAGTCACTACACATTACACTGAAACACACAGTCACTACACTTTACACTGAATCACACAGTCACTACACATTACACTGAAACACACAGTCACTACACTTTACACTGAATCACACAGTCACTACAATTTACACTGAAACGCAGTCACTACACTTTACAATGAAACACACAGTCACTACA